CTGCCCCTGTCAGGCAGCGCCCACTTGGGCCCGCATGGTAAGAACCACAGAGAAGAACAAAGGAGAAGGCTGACAGGAGACTCTGCAGCCTGCCTTCTGAGCAGAAAGCCCTACCCTAGCTGTCTCCACAAGGAACATCACACACTCCACAGAGACCATCATGGGCCACTCCATGGCAAGAAGAAGCTATTTACGGCAGGCAAATTTCTATTTGCAGTTAATTTTAACCCTTGAAAAATGTCTACTTTGTTTATATTTTATAATACACCTGAGAGATTAGTACTGTGTGTATATAATTTTTAAAATTCTGTGCTAGGGGTCGCTACGAGAGCTATGCCCCAGGGTAAGACAAGTCTGAAGTCCTCCATTGGCCCTGAGGCCCAGTCGGTCCGGAGCCGTATTTTGCAGGTTGCCTGTACCCTTGTTCTGCTATCTGTCCCACCTTTCCCATGGAGCCCATATCACTGTTTACATGCTTGGTGGTGTGCACCGTGCTCACGCCTGATAAGCCCTCCCTTTCGGGAGCTCCCGCAGGTTTTCTCCTAAGTAGCATTTGGAGGTTGCCCTTTGTGTCTAGGTACTTTCTTGGCCTCCTTGGATCTTTTCCCTTCTTCACACAGAAACACTTAAAAATTATGACATCCTTCCAAAAGGAAGTTGTTTTTAGAAAACCACTTGCGTAAAATTTAAAAATTGCATATCAAAATTTGAATACTTTTGCCTAGCTAAAAACACTACCTTCTAGCTGTAAACTTTCTTGGAGCTTTGTGGTTATTTCATAATTCCTCTGAAGCTCTCCACCCCTCTTGGGACCTACTTAATGTTTCATATCAATTAAACTCCTAAGGACAAGAGACTTACCACACCTTGCAATCTTGACAACAGGCACTTTGTTGAAGAAAACAAATTAAAAGGAACACATTAGACTTTCTCTCATGAAATATTATTATTTTACATGGAAATATCTATAAATAGGCAGCCACAGATTTGCATGTCAAGTCATGAGTTGAGCCACAAAATGCCATGCCCATCTTCCTACCTCAGAATACATCCTGAGTTCCGGTAATTCATCTTCTGAGGTAAAACAAATTTTAAAAAAATATCATCTATATTAAAAGGTGAGCTGTAGGTAGTAATTATAAATATCTGAACATATGTAGGTGGTATATATGTCTGTGTTTTTTGTGGATATTTACCATCTACTTCCTGGTGTGGAATAAAATGCATCAGTTAGAAATGCTTATTGACTTTTTTAAAGTATGATATTTTGCTAATATCTTAGCATGAAACAAGCATTTGAAGGAAAAAGGGATTCTTTAAAATCCATGTGGAATTGCTAAATTAATACCTTCACACAAACCTGAATGAAATGGAGAAGTCACTACTGAGAAAAATAAGGTAAACATGGAAAAGGACGATCAGGCATTTGAAAAAGTAAAGTTTTATCAAAATTAAGACTTTCTCAAATGAGTAGAGGGTCAAGAAATTGGGGCAGAGAAGAGAGAGGGGAAGGGAAAGGGATAAAAAAGAATAAAGATGTGTTAGGCACACATTTCAGCTGCCCACAAGGAATGTAGTAATGTACTGCAAACATGCACTAATAAAAAATAAAAACAAAACATTACTGCTCCTAAAATTTATATCTCTCACTCTAAAATTTATATCTCTCACTCTGTCTTACGCACATGCACACACACGCGCACACACACACACACACACACACAAACTTTTCTTACCTATACAATTTAATTATTCTTATACCTCCTAAATTAGAATCTAGAGCAAGAACCCAAGTTCACGTATTCACTCAACTGTAACCTGTCCTGCTCTTACATCTGCTGTGCCTGACTTGCACACCTTTCTTGTCTGTGGCAGGCCCACTTTTGGGGTCTTGACCCATTCCACTCCCTTTCATGGTATTAGGTCTTCCTTTAAACTGATTAATACCCAGTGGAGCAGAGAGTTCTATGAGCTTTGTATTTTCAAACTCTTCCATTTGTATTGTACTTTCACGGGAGTCGGGAGCCCTTAGGGAATACCTTCTCTTGAACAAATGTGTTTAGAGTCATCCACATTTCATATGAGCATGACAGAAATTCATAGGTAACTTGGAACCCGGACAATGTGAATTTAATGGTGGAAATAGTTTCCCTGGTTTCAGGCTCCTCTACCTGGGAATGACTTAAATACAAGGGAGAATCCAATGCCGTGTTTACTGCAGAGTCAATTCTCACCTGGCTAAAATTAGCTTTTAAATCACTGGGTTTTATGCCGCTGCAGCGCACCTGGTCCCCTGTGACTGCAACGTTAGACTCACTTTTACTCCTGCTGATTACCTGTGATTATCTACCCGGTCAAGTTGTCAAGTGGCTGCATCTACTAAACACCTTCACAGCAACTCATTATCTCTCTAGTCCATCCCCCGATTATGGATTTTATGCCTAAGCTGTCTTACTCCCTCGGTTCTATTGGAAGTGAATCACCCCAAAAGTATAAACGCTTCTCCCAGATGTGACTCGTGCATCTTCTTCTGATTTTATGTCATGCCCAAACAAGCTCAAAGTTAATTTAAGAGCTTTCTGTATTTACTTATTGAGAGAGATTTTCCACTTCATGCAACCCTCCCAGGGACTCAGTTTCATCCACATCGAAGTCAACACTGAACAAAGTGAACACTATGGTTCTCCCACTTCTCCTTTTGGGTTTATTTTCTGGATGTCTTGCTAACTGGACACTTCCTCAGGTAAGGTGCAGAGATCCTGGGACAGAAGCTTCATCAGAAAGATATCTCTGATCTTCTGAGTCTCCTCATCCAGTAATGTACTGGTTCCAGGTGGCCACATCTTGGTTTTCTTGTTGCATATGTGGAACGAGATTTGTCACTGGTGTTTTTAAATATTGCTCTCCCCCAGTAACAAGTAGGAGTGAGCCCATTATAATAACCCTCTTAATACAACTTGAAGAGATGAGGTGTGAATTCATGAGGTTACAAATAAATATATTTTTAAAACACATAATTTTAGGTATAGAAATTAGGCGTTAGAATTCTTCTGGGTTTACGTAAAATTAATTTACAAAAGATACAAGTGAACGCCTATTAAGAGGTATACGTCAGAATGATTATTATAAATGGTTTATATGTATTAACTCATTTAATTCTCAATATAGCCCTCTAGGTAGGCACTGTTATCATCCTTGTTTCCAGAAGAGGAGACGGGCTCTTAAAAATTGATGTGCCCTAAGCCTCATATCCACCATGCTGTGTAGCTTTAGCTCAGTACTTCTAACACTGAACATGACTCTTAAAAGTTCAATTCTCATTTATTTAAATTTGGCTTCAATCCCTTCTATCCTTTTGCCCTACACTTCTCATTTTTGGCTATTAAGAGTCTCAAAAATATCTAAGAATTCACTAGCTTTTGTAGATATGTTTTAATAGCTAACAGTAAAACACCTGAGAAAATAGGATGTCGGTTCAAAAGTTTGTTTGTTTTTTTTTAACTCCATTGCTCTGAAATTACCATGAATAAACACTGCAGGGTTTTTAACTTCATCTTTGCAATTATTTTGGTGCCATCTAGTGACTCATTTGAAATTTTAAAATGTTTTGCTGCCATCTAGTGACTGAAACGAAAAACAATCTGTGAACAGGAATGTGCCTTCTGATTTGGCTTTTAAACCTCTAAGTGTTATGCTGCCTTATTATGAGCAGTTTGTTCAAAATTAAATCTGCATATATTAAAATTTTAAAGTTTGACACCCACAGTTATCAGTTTTCTCACCTTTTCTCCTATGCTAAATACTATGTTCATGTCCACAGTTCCTCTTTCATAGCAATCAAGAAAGCATTAGAAAATAGAGTCCACCAAAAAAGTATATATCAGGAAAAGAAAAGGTTATAAATGTTCTAATATTAAATGTATTGAGACATCATGAGATTAATACAAGTTACCTTTGGCCTCTACAGTTACAAGAGGCCCTCAAAGTGGTGGCCATTAGCTTCCAGACACTTGGTACAGCAAACTGCTAAAGCGTGTATACATTTTTGTTGGTGGACTCTGTTATACCTCATCTTCAATAGCTGTGGTAGTTAATATTTTTTGTATTCCATTTATTCTTTTTAGACCAATTTTATTTGTGTCAATTCTTATTAGGATAATTGACATTAGATTTTCACTTGGCTTTATGTTTATAGTTAATCTCAACTATATTTATTTAATTATATAAATGGTTACAGACAGTAAAAACTTAGTTTTTTTTCATGTTCTATGTAGACTACTTGCCACCACCTGCATAAAATTTGATTGTGCATTTTAAAAATTTTTCATCAGGGGTCCCGAATTATTATGTCTTTTCATAAATATATCTTTATTGCCATTTAAAGTGGTAGGAATTGTAGCATATTTCTGCCCTCAAAATGAAACAGCACCTTATAATGAATAAACTCTTGATGATGCTGCCCCAGGTATAGGCTTTCAAATATATGAATATTATGAAACATTGCATTCAATTTGTGGCTGCCCTACTTTGAAACGTTAAGATTCCAGCCAAGGTCACACAGGGTACCCTGAGGACCAAACGCTGGCAAATGCTGGAGTGCTTCCTCACAACGGGTCCGGCCATGGCCTTGTGTAGGCTGTGGATGCCTGAAGTGCGACTGTTCGGATGCCTGTGCCTGACCAGGAAAATGATCCCCCCACCAAACAGGGACACCAGTATGTTTTCAACATTCCAATGGACATCTATAGCGGCGCAGCATTTACAGGGCTGGGAGAAGTGGGGAGGAGATTTTAGGTTGGAAGGTAACTGTGAACACAGGCAATCAGACTGGGGGAAAAATATGTTCTGCTGGAAAAACTCCAACCTGAAGCTAATGAGACCATTTCCAAGGAGATCTAAACTCACTAAGATAAGCAAACACCAGTGTTCTCAATGCAGAGTAATTTGTGATCCAAGAAGATGAGAAGTGGTCCTACATTCACCCTTAGACATCATTTATTCACCAAATATTTATTGAGTGGTTATTATGTGCCGGATACAGTATTGGGGAATAAGATGAATGTCATTGTGCAAGATTCATATTCTGGCTGTTACAGAGGTTGCAGTCGAGGGACACAGCTTCCTTTGATCCAGTATTTTTCCTCCATCCACTTTAACCTGCCCTGCCTATATCCTCCAATGAGAGGATAACTGACATTTGGTCATTTTTCTTGCCTCCCAGAGAGTGAGTACTGTGTGCACTTTTTACAGTGCACTAAAGCATTGCTAAGTACTCTGAGAGAACCGGCTTGTGTACTACCACTAATGATCAAAGCTCCACACCTCCTAATTTCAAGGGATTTAATTAACACATCCAATTCACACTGACCAACCTGGTTTTGCTTCACCCAAGTGGTAATTTATTAAATAACTTTAGCCTCATAGGAGCCCATCACATGACTTCACTGCCAGCATCTCAGGGCTCTCTGCCCGCATCCCATTTTCACTCCTTACGCTAATAAACTTTTCTAAAGTAGTTAACATATTAGCCAGCAAAGCACAGAAAAATGATCAAAGCCATTAACTGCAAAATTAGACATTGTGTCTAAAGATATTAAATATTTTAAAAGTCTAAATAGAGAGGCTTTTGCACTGTTAGGTCATTGTCATCCTAAACTATATTTTAAAAAACTGACCTAACATCTGCAGTCTGAGTGGATTCCATCCCCACTGCACTGACTGAACTCGAGTCCTAACCCATTGTGAGACCTCTGGGAACCATTCTGCACTCTCAGATGTATGGGCACATAATTTCGCTTGTGTGCAATTTTGTCAGATGTCCTCACAAATTGCCTTGAGAAAGGTAGCATACAGACTTAGGTCTGGAGTCTTCTATCCCTACCTTTCACTCCTAAAAACAAATGGACAAAGTTGCCCTTCGAAGCTTTAGTCCATTTTTGTCATTTGTGATGCTTTTTCATTCAAAAACACAATGCCCAACTTTTTGCATCCATGTCTTTATTTGGTGATCCATCAGTACAGCTACTTTTACTTCGAGTGCCACCAATCACTCCTTCCTATCCTAGGAACCCCTTCATTCAGCCTCAGATTCAAAAGACACCAGACACAGCTTTTATTTTGATAGGCATGCAAAGATAAAAGTAATGAAATAAAAAATAGATGGCCCTGCTGCAGGTAAAGAAAACCATCTTTATGAAGAAGAAACTCCAATACTGGATCACATGTTTTCAAAGCCTTGGTCTGTGTTTTCCTTTCACTGATAACCAAAACCAGGTAAATTTAGACAGAGCTAAAATTTTAGTAAGTACTGGGCCTCTTGATGTTAAGAGGTGAAACACATTATCATTCAATTTGCGGTGTCCACAATCGATTTAATTTCCGGCTTCTCTATAGAAAAATCACCTCTACCCCTATAAATAAAATCATTCATTACTCCTCTAAGGTGGGCCATTGAAAATACGAACATAGGAAATGTGAGGTTCTGTGAATTTAAGATGACAGGAATATGGTGCTCAATTGCCATTTTCCTGTATCTTTACTCTTCTGTCTCTGTTTCTTCTTCTTTGAAAGCTTACTAGAAATGCTACTTTTATAGAAAAGATGATTATAACAAAGGTCAAGTGTGAGATTCGTGTTATGGCCTCACACCTTGTCAAAAGTAACCGGTTTCTTGGCGTCTGCGTCTCTCGCATTTCTCTCTGGGTGTGGAAAGATGAATAGACTTGGCGTGAAGAGCGCCAGAGGGAGGCAAGCAACCGCTCTCGCTCTCGGCCCACAGGCTTCTTTTCCTGAGCAGGGCGAGATCCTGCGGCCTCATTTGAAGGAGGCTCTCACCACCCTGCCCTTGAGAGGCTGCGGAGGGCGCCAGTTCCCCACGAGGGGCACCGGGGGCTCGTTCTCGGCGCTGGAGAAGATGCTGCGCAGCTTGGCCATCTGCGGGGACAGGGCTGCAGGTTAGCGAGGCGCCCCCTGCTGGACGCACCGTGCGACCAAGGGTCACAAGTCACGGGCTTTCCAAACGGGACCAGGAGACCGCACAAAACCGGTCTCAAGGGCTCAGTCCAAGGTTGCTACTCAGCTACCACTGCTGGAGGAATATATTTTTTTTTATTTGTAAAAATCTCCCCCTCCCCGTCCTTTCTCCCTCCTCTTCCCCCCTCCAGCCATCTCTCCCTCTCTCCCTCTCTCCCCTCTGTGTCGCCTATTTTATGGATCACTATGCACTCTGGTCAAACCCTTTTCTTCTTGAATTCTGAAACAATTATTTTAATTTGAGGGGTTGGGTATGAAGTACACACTTTATGTAGAAAGGCATGACAAATCACATATATTTTTAATAGGCCTTCATTGCGTTTATGGAGTCAATTTTAAAAGCGAAGAAAGAACTATATTATGCCACAATTTTAATTTTCAACTGATTTTTCCTTAAAGAATAAGAAATTCTTATTAAGACCAGTATATTGCAATATTAAATTATTTTTAGTTTTTCTCCTTGAGACAATTTCATTCCTTTCTCAAAATATTTATATCAATGACTAAGGCCATTAGACCTGATTCTTTGATTAAAATACCAATTTATATTCTTGAGTCTACAAATAGACTGTGGTCTTAGTCAAGGGAGACAGAATGGTAAACCGATTTTACTATGACACATTCTATGTTGTTCACTTGCTAAATATGGTCTTTTTCGTGTCCCTTATTTTAACCCAATTGTTGTTAAGACAGTCAGTTTTTAAATGAACAGGAGGAAGGGAGACCATATACTATCAAAAACAGCCCTGAGGTGGGACTCAGCTCTTGCACTCAGCTGAGTGTGTGGATAAATTACTTCTACTTTCTAAGGTTCACCTTGTTTATCTTTAAAACTGGAAAAACAGCATACTGTTCCCAAGGATGTTCAATTCTTTCCAATTCCCTTCTCCTTCCTAGGTCTGGATTTGCTACCCCAGCTCCTGACCAGTGCACACTATTTCAGGGATCTCCGAAGGAACAAAGACTCCGTCCTCTTGCCCTAAACCTTTAAGTGTAGCTTAAACTAGGGCATCGGTCACTATCACGATCACTTTTCTTCAGTTTGAAATTATCCCAGTACCCTTGGGAAGCCAAAATTTAGAAAACGGGACAGGCTGATTGTGATTAACCAGAGCAAATTCAGATCCCTAGGAGGAAATGTTGGACAAGCATCCATTACAGAAGTGGATTTTTAGTTTTTCTATCTTCCTTGGCCAGCCAGCGATTATAAACCTGTGTGTTCCCCAGGCCCCGGGGAGCTGCTCACCTGGTCGGAGCTTACGGTCATGGGCTCCTTCAGCAGCAGCCACACGATGCACTCCTCGCAGGGGGGCGTGGTGAAGGAGCCCTGGTAGGTCCAGTAGTCCCGGCAGGCGGGGAACAGGCAGGATGGGTCGAAGTGAGTGAAGGGCGCCTCCTTGCCCTAGAAGAGAGCCCGGCCCTGGCTAATCCACGCTGGCTGAAACCCGTGCGACACACACCCCAGAGGGTTCACCACTTCACTTGTGGACCAGACTTCAAGGGCAATAGAGTAAATCAATTGTTAACAAGGTCCAGTCCTTCAGAAATAAAGGTTACTCAGGAAGCTGACTGTGTATAACTTCATCTGGCACAATCCTTTGCCATGTTTTATTTCTTTTCACTTTAACTATGTGTAGAACTATAATTCTACCATTTGTCTTGAGGAAAAACTCATGCTATATCTAAAGTGTAACAAAAGTACCTAACATAAGTTAATGCTTTGGTTGTTGATGATTAAAAAGGGGAGGCTTGCATTTTTATTGACTGTTGTATTAGAATAATTACTTTTGAGTGGTAAAAGTCAATAGCAGTTAATTAGGATAGTCATAAGGACAACTAAAATGTGTCAGCTAAGTAGAAGAGTCTACTCTTAAAGATTTAAAATATAGATAAGTGTTGCTGGAAAGGGTCCCACCAGGATTTAAAACACCAGCTTTAACTGGCATTTAGAACCTCAGTGAGTCTGTTTATGTAGGTAGGTGGGGAGAGGAGAGAAAGAGGGAACTGCCCCAGTCTTTGAATCCAGAGATTCAACTTCTCTGATTCTCACCCACTGCCTTGAGAAAGGATATCTGACAGGAGGCAATGAAATAAACCAATGTAGGCAAAATTGCTTCAAAAACTATAAAATGTACAAATATAATCTCATTTATTTATATGTGTGCCTAGCACATCTATCAACGTAGTAAGAGTTTAGGTTAAAAGAGTAGAGTATTTCATAATGCAAAAGAAATGAAAAGTAATGTTCTTTGCATGATGTTTTAGAAGAAGAGATTATTTTCTTTTACCTTTGTCTTGACTTTGTCCAATGCATCAAGGAGAAGCTGGAACTCGCCTTTCTCCCGTCCTATCTGTAAAAAAAATGGAAATCCGATACGATATTTTTCCTTTCTCCATAATTTAAGGTCATCTTAAAAACTGATTTTGATTCATCTACATGCGACTAGTGTTCATAAATCTGCCAAAATATCTTTTATGAGGCAAAAACATGATTTTATTTTCCCCCCAAGATTTTAGAGTGCATGTTTTCTGATCTAAACTTAGATTCCAGGCGTCTGAAGTATAAAACCACAAAATTACATGTCCTTGACCTCTGCAAAGTCATTGCATTTCTTAAATAGAGTTAGAGCTAGAGTATGCTCTGTGTATCTGAAACTAAATTCATTGTCTTTCCTCTCAGACCCACTTTGCCTTCTGGGGTGTGGTTTTCATGAGCTGAAAATGATCCAGTGAATTCAGAACATGAAACGAATTAGGTCATTCAAAAAGAAAGAAGCCAGATTTTCACCTCTGGCTTAAAATCTAGATTATGTTACCACCAAATTCATGTGTTAATGACACTAAGTCCTCTTTAAACCAAGGCTGGCCGAACAACACACACATTCCATGTGCTATCTTAGCACGGGATCATGAGGGTGGTGGCTGCCTTAAGCACAGGGGATGTTAAGCCAGGCACTTGGCATCCCAGAAGCTCCCATCATCAGCTTTTCTGGTTTCTGGAGCAACTGAAGTGGAGTAGTGGGAAAGCTTAATGAGCACATCCCACCCTCCTCGCCCTCACCACCATCACAACAAGCTCCCTCGAATTCTCTGTCAGTCATTCCCTCCACACACACTCATCCTGAGAGAAAATGTAGAAGTGCCAGGGGCTCTGGAACAGGGCAAAAGGAGCACTTTTAGAAGGGAACAAAACATTTTGAACAGATTTTAGCAAAAATGTCTTGATCAATTGAATGGATAATAACATGCATATAGAGAAAGGAAAACACGTACACACGACTCAAGCAACAGAGGACCAAGACTCATATTAGCCCCAGCATTAAAAGCAACTAAGTTCTGAGAGGAGGGGAAAAAGAGCGCAGTTTTAATGTCACCTTCAGAAAAATGCCAACCACGGCGATCCCATCAGGTTGTTTTAGAGCTCCCCCAAAAGTGTTGTACTTTGGATTCCAGTGCACCAAATGAAGCTGAAACCATAAAACACAGGTTAAGAGGCAAATCCCTAGAATAAGGAGCTAAGTATAGAATTATTCTCAATAGACTCAAAAAATGTGCTGTCCACACGTTGTTGCTTAGCGATGCCATATAAAATGACAAAACTCTAAATATTAAGTTGCAATATTTAAAAGTGGAACTTTTAATGGTTCAAATAAAAAGTATATAAAACAATCTATCTCTTTTGAGCCAGGCTGTAGAACTTGGCAGCCACCTTATCTTAATTTAGAACATGAGCACCATTAAGCTAATCAGGTTTCCTATATTGAGTTACAGAGAACGGAAAGAGAATACAATAGTTTGTGATGGTTAAAAAACACTTTATTTAAGATCAAATGTGTGAAATAATTTCATGCACAATGTTCAGAGACAAAGCCTTTCCTACATCTGTAAGACATATCAGAAACTCTACCCATTTGTTGAGGAAGATGTGTACGAAGAAGGCATTCTCAATTTATCTTGCCACTAGCTCTCTGGATTGGCTGCAGAGAAATGGAATGACAACAGCAAAATACTTTGGGTGTCTTAGCAATCACACTGCCTGATGAGTTCACTTAGGACAAAGTTCCTGTGTACCCACAGTCCCTGCTCAGCCCCTGTGTTGACAAAACCTGCCCTTGGAAAAGAGCAAAGTAGCTTGGCTTTCTACAGAGACTTATAGGAAGGAGGCTTGTCTTACTCCCTTTATAACTCGATGCTTTGATCTGAGCTCTAAATCATGCTTTTCTTTAATGAGTTACCTGAGACAGAGTAGCATCTGTTATATAAAATTGTGTGTATCTGTGTCAGTCTGTGTGTTCTCTTAACATTAGAACATGAACATTGGTCAGAATCACTAAATGCTGTTTTAAAAGCACTATATTCTCATAAAACAGGCAGCATGGGGCACTGACTAAGATGATACATTCTGAAGCTAACTGGCATAAAGAACAACACCAGGTCTAGTACTTATCAGTTGTGCGCCTTTGCCATATAACTTTTCTGTGCCTCAGTTACCAAATCTGAAGCCTATTATACCAGGTTGCTGAGAGTATCAGATGAGGTAATATGTGTATCATTAACACACATGTGAGCTATCTTTATTGTTCTGGTTCCATTCAGGGCCGTCCCTTTTTCCTTTAAGCAACATCCACCTTTTTTTATATATAACCTTGGAAGTCTTTGTGTGCAATGCTATCCCACCAACCCATCCATTACTGTCCAACCGAGAAAATTCAGCAGCTGCAGTTTATGCTAAAATTATTACAATTCTTTTCACAACCGAGTGCTTGAAAAATGTTGTTTGGTTGCTGAGGTTGTAATTTTTAGTTTTTCAGTTTTTACTATGGGAGATGCAGGGTGGATGACAGCAGTTTCTCCTTCCTACCTCTGCTGCGTACTTGACTCCATCCACCGTGTGCTCAGAGCCGTGATCATCGGAGGAGCCCCAGTGAAGATGAAACTGGCGAAGTCGGTAGGGCCCAGAAAGAGGACCACCTCTCAGCACTGTGATCAGATAAGCAAAGTCAGTGAGCTCACACTTCCGTTACAGAGAGCTACCCTAGTTTAAACAGGTGCATTTGATGGGCAAAGGGAGTAGATGTTCTGCTAAGAAGACAGAGCCCTCCCCAAGCATATGGAACTCCTCCAAAAATGAAGACTTAGGATATATCATAACATATGCATTTTCTGTCATTTTTATTTAGTTGGCTTGCTTTATTATTATTGAAATGTAACAACACTTATGAAAGTGGACGACGAGGATGCACACACCCAACAATGTGTCAGTAGTGTGGTGCAGTGGGAGGAACCAAACTAAGAAGGGGCAGGCAGTCTTAGGCTCCAATCCTGGCTCTACCCCTCGATAAATGTGTGATCTAGGGCAAGTTGCTAAACTTCTCTGAATGTTTTTGCATCTCTAAGAAGGTGATAATAATTCCACACTTGCAGATCTGCTGTGAGGATTAACGGAGATTAAGCACCTTAGTAGTGCTCATCATAGTTCCTGCATGGCAAGCGTTATACAAACATGAATCCTTTATGTCTGACTGTTCACCTGCAATTTTCTTCTTTAGGATGACAAGCAAGCGCTTTGATCTACATCTAATGTAGAGGGTGCCTATTCAAGTCAGATGAAATGGAAATTTGAAAATTTCCCAGGAAACCAATCAATGCAGACTGCAAAATTTAACAATTTTCAATAGCATTAATTTGGGTTTATTGTATAAATATCTTAATATGTTGCTTCATTTGATTTCAATTCACTTAAGCTTGATAGTAATTTAGAGGCTCAAATATCTTCAAAGGATATTGGATTGCCATGCAGAAACCCTAAAGTCAAGATTCAGCAATATAAGCAAAATAAAATTCAAGGTAGCTATTTTGGAAAGGATTGTCTACCCCAATAAGTATCACAGGAAGGGATAGTATATCTTTAAAACAATAAAGCTAGGCCTGTATAAGTTTGGCTATGAAGGAATTAAGTGGTTTCTCATATTTTTCCTGTGCAATCATTTGGAATAGTTAGTATCTGGACATACGACTCTAATTTGTTAGAATAAAGTGTAAGAAATCGTCAATAATCAACTACTTTTGTTACAAAAATAACATTTTTATGTGGCTTAACCTAATAATATTGTTTAATTTTCTTTTTTCTTCTTCAAAGTGGAGCTAGATTTAAAATGGTTGGAAGGGGGATAGCGGTGTAAAAAATTTAGAAAATGTAACATTATATCATATTCCTTACTTGGAATATGATAGGTAGGTAGGAGTTATGACTCTCACATTCTTTACTCCAACATAATTCAGAATTTGCTTTTATGTATATTGATAAGGATAATTTTAACTCCATTTAAAACAAGGTTATAGGAAGTTGTGTTCTGTACAGTGAGCATTAAGTCCTGAAGGGAAGATTCTTACCTCATTTACAGTGAAATAAAATATTTCTAGTCAGCCTTTTTTTCATTTATTTGCGTCCTAGTGTATGTGTTTGTTTTTTTTTTTTTTTTTTTTTTTTTTTTTTTTTTTTTGTACTGCAGCTCCAACTCAGGTCCTTGCACTTGCACGGCAGGCCACAGAACCACTGAGTTAAATCCCCAGGCCCTGTTAATTTTTTAAAACAACTTGATTTTTCACATAAGTAGTGCTGAAGAAATGTTCAGCTACTTTGAAAACACTTTACCAGAAGGATCAGTCAGATAAACTCCAGGGAAACAGGAAGCCAAGACATCGGGACCCATGCAATGGCCCTATTCTTTCTATCCCCTGGGTTGGCCTTGTTCCAGGCCCCAGGAAAAGACAGTGTCTATTGTATTCCTTTACTTTGTTTCTTGCTTTGTAGAATGGAGTCAGTGCCATACTTGGGAGCGGGAGCATCACTCTCCAGACTTGGTTGAAGAGTGCAGGAATACTCAGCTATTGGCCATAAGAGTGGGAAGAACACGAACTTGGATTCATTTTCAACATCATCCCATCAAGCTCCATTTCAAGAACACATTGCCAACTTTTGGTCTGGGCAGAGGACCATTTTTCAGGAACAAAGTGACCAAAATTAGAGGGTGAGACATTCCTCTTCAATACACAAATATGTTTCTTTACAACTAAAGCAAAGAAGAATGTCATCTCTATTTTCAAGGATGAAATGCTCCCTCTTCCCACCAATAGCTGTTGCTGTGTCTGTAATCACACTTTTGCCAGTACAGACATGGAAAATATCTATAGGCCCCCTCCCTAAGCATTGTACTTACTTGACCTGTCATAAGTGTCATCAAACACAACTCTGCAGGTCTTCCCATTGTTCAGGATGGCCTTGGCAGAGCCAGGGTCATAAGATGCTGCCCATGGCAGCAGAGAAGGGTCATGCTTGATGTCTTTAGTATGCAGCTCAATGGGCGACTGGTTGTCCCCCTTGGCAATGGGGTAAAGTTCATGCCAGTGGTCAGGACCTAGAAAATAAAGTTGAGGGAATTTATTTATTTGGTGGTATAACCGAAGGCCATTCTTGAATAGACAAACCAGCAAAATACACAGACTACGATTTAAGAAATGGTCTTGGGTTCAGATGGGGCAGCACAAGACTTAGCATTTAAGACATCTTCATAGTTTTGTTGGTGGTATTTAATTCCATGTATTTCCCCTGCTGGCTCAGGAATTGCTTGAAAGGCTTATTTTTTAAACGGTCTGCATACATTGACCACATATGCATCCCTTTGTGGTTTTCAGAGCACACAGGTATTTCTTTTCCCATAGGTTTAGCAGAGGGGTAGGCAGAATAAGATTCTCATACCAACACCAGACTCAGAGAGGCTAAGTGTTTTCCCTAGCATCTCAGAGCAGAGGACCATCAGCCTGGACCTCAGGGTGTCTGACTTCTCAGTCAGACAGTGTGATCCCATGCAAGTTACTAGCTTACCTGCGCTTCAGTTTCTTCCAAAGAAAACAGCAAAAATCCACTGGAGAGAATACCAAATGGTTTAGAAAAAAGGACCAGTAGCATCTGGCACTTGAAAAGTGCAGTTAATGCTAGTTCTTACCCACTCTGCACCCACATTTTCAGAGCACTCCTGTTCTCCTACTTTCTGTGCAATGCCCTGGACCGGGGCGGCCGCTGCCCGCACTCACCATTGTGGCTGGCGTAGCCCCACTCCTTGGCCATGGTGGTCTCTCCCGGCTCCTGCCTTCTCTCGGGGAGTCGCGGTGTCCCTACAGCCCGTGTCTTTTATACAGATCCCCCACACACACTGCATAACCTTATTAGGTCAGCCAGGGTGGGGCGGGGGGCTAAAGTGGATCGGGATGGTATGTGGAAGGCGGGGTGGGAGAAGCCAATGAATTATAGGGGCTGGACAGCTGTCGGCGTGGGGTGACCACCCCCACCCCCGCCGCCCCTTCCTAAGAACCCTGGCTCGGGGCCCTGTCATCGCTCCCTCCGGGCTCCCAAAGCTGCAGGGCTTTGCAGCGGGCGCCGCCGAGAGCAAGCGCGGGCTGCATTCTCCACGTCCTCCCTGCTTCCTTCTCCCACGCTTTTGGGGGAGTCGGGGAAGGGGCGAGAATGCAGTGTGGCAGCTGTGCTTAGCCAGGAACTAAAATCTGTATCCTGGCGGCTCTTGCAGCCGCGCAGAGAAGTTACTTTTACTTCAGGCTGACGATCTGGCTGCAGTGTCTGGACGCTTTTGCGAGTTGATTTCGCTGCCAGGATCCAGTTACCGGGTAGAGTGGCTGGAAATAAAGCGTCTGTTTGTTTGACCCCTGCTTGTAAAACCCTAGGAGCCAAGGATGGAAAGAAAGAGGGCAAGCTTGCAGGCTGTCTGACTAGGTTCCCCGTGAAGAGCCCGTCCTCGGGCTGGAACCACACCAGCCGGTGTCCCCAACCCAGCGGGTCCCTGTGGTCCACAGGTCGCCGAGGCCTGGATCTCAGAGTGCCCGGAATCTGGGAGATATCTGGGTCCCCGGTTTGCACACAGCCAGAGACTGGCACTGACGTCGCCACACTCTGCAAACTACAACTCTAAAAGCCACTATCATAGAATGACTTACATTGCCTAAAAACTATAATTTCACTGTCCACAGTGTAATGAGAGATTGAAAAGAAAAAGGCTTGCAGAATCATCTTTAATTTTTTTCTCTAAGGTGTTTCATAATACAATGAACCACACAAAAGGAAACTAAAACTGTCATGTCTAGTGTGTATGTGGCAAAACCACAGTTTAAAATATCCGGTTATGGTTCATATTGAAGAAGTCAAAATAGGAGATGTTTGTAATTCTAAGAATATACCGTAAAATTTCTTGTTTTAAGTCAGTAACCATTTTTTACAAGGCAGGAGGAAAGGTACCTAACTTTAGTGCTGCATTAAGATTTCAATATTCATTTTCTTCATTATGATGGCTTTTATTTATGACTTTTTTGTAATGGGAGATAGCAAAACTTGAAAAGGAAATCACTTATCATGGCAAAGATAGCTCATCCCTAAGGCATGTGGAATAACTGACCACACTCGTAACCTGGGCGCCAGGGGAGTCACTCCCCAGAGTATTTTTGTGACCAGGGATTATTTGATCCACACAATAGCAGTGTGGAATTAGGAACTGAGGCACTTTGGAAAATCCAAGCAAACAGGGCAAAAGAAATGCCCTTAGACTTTGAGTTCAAACATGGAACTGGTTGATCAGAGTGTCTACCAAGGTGGAATGCCTCGGCCAGGTTTCTAGTTTACTGTAACAGTGTGGTGTACCTGTGCATAATGGAAGTGTTTCAGATTTCTCATTACTTGTATGATTATTGGTATAAGCACATCATAATCTTGTTCCAGATCATTCAATTGTTGTAATCTTGCTTTCTCTGTTATGTGTAGTTAAGAAGACAAGCAATTAAATTTCATGTTATTTGATATTGTATTAATACAGATAAAGTATTTAATAACAAATTCATACCAAGAACAATCTAGAAATTAATCACATATACTCTTTATGTGTAGAAAGAGTTTTTTACACTTGATCTTAGCCAAAAGGTCGAGAAGTGATTAGAAAGAGTTTTTTAAAGGACTATTTATTAAAGAATGTACAAACTGGCACATAATTTCAAATAAATACTAGATAATTCAAAGTGGAATAGTTAATAGTTTTAAATATGAAAACAATGGTGTTTTGTTGTACTTTCTTATAAAAAGTCAATAACTATAACTTTAAGACAATTTATAGAAAATCATATAATTTTAAAGGAAAATAAAGTTTTTATAAAACTTGGTGTTTTGTTGTACTTTCTTATAAAAAGTCAATAACTATAACTTTAAGACAATTTATAGAAATCATATAATTTTAAAGGAAAATAAAGTTTTTATAAAAATTCTGAATTTATCTACAATGCATTTTTAAAAGCTCATCTGCAAAAATGTTTTAAAAATCTTATCTGAAAATTTATCATTTGCATCTCAACAGATTTATTCCAGCAAGTTTGTCTATATATTTCAAATTTTCCTGTTAACAGAACAAAAAGATATTTATAATCTCTGTCCAAGATTTTGAGATTTGGAGTTGACTTGAAAAGAAAAAATTTTTGGTATACACTGTAATAAATCCTGCCAAGGAAAAAAAGAAACTACAAGGTACATCCTAGCATATTGGCACAATTTCTCCCAGTACCATGATGAGAGAGTTGATGTATTAGGTAATTTTGCAGGGATTTTTACCCAAATGAATACATATATGCAGAGAGAGAGAGAGAGAGAGAGAGGGAGAGAAGGAGGGAAGGAGGGAGGGAGGAAGGAAGGAAGGTAGGAAGGAAAGAAGGGAGGGAAAGAAAAACCAAAAAGGAAAATTGGGGTTGAAGATAATTTATTGTAAGTTGGGCATGTGGCACCTATAATTCCAGTACTCAGGAGCCTGAGGCAGGATTGTCATGAATTCAAGGCCAGCCTGGCCTACACAGGGAGTTCAAGATCAGACTGAACTACATAGTGAGACCATATTTCAAAAAAAAAAAAAAAAACAAAAAAGAGGAGGAAGAAAAGGAGAAGAACTTATTGGTACCAGGGAGAGGCAAGTGGGATAATACGAGGGGAGATGATTAAAGTATGCTATGTGCATGTACAAATCTGCCCCTAAAACAAGTCATACATAAAACATTTTTTAAATTTTTAAAATTTATAGGCAGGAAGGGAATTTTTAAATATGGAAGTTTCAACTAAATTTCATTTTTAAAGCTGTAGGCTTAGAAGGTCTAAGGTAAAAACATTTAAATATATTTCATTTATGATATATTATTTTATTCTGCAAGATATCAGGTAATATAATTAACTCCACTCTTTTGAAAGTTGATGCTACTTAGTCGCTTCTCTTGCATTACAAAAAGCAAGGGAGAGATTATCCACTTATTATTCGTTAGACTCCTGCCCAGGCAGAAGAGAAAAACTTCCCACACAATGCTGTTATTCACCAGGCAAGGCCCAAAAGATAACAGGAAGCCAAGACATGGGTCAGAAATAAACAACAACCACCCCACATGGAAACATCTACAGGCCCAGATTCCCTGAAGACCTCAAGACCTCCTCTACCCCAAGACAAAATTTGTCCACTCCTCCAGGCAGTACCCTTCCCCACCCAAACGCCCTATAAAGTTTCTCCTTGCCTAAACCCTCAAGGTAAATGGTCTTGTTGCCTTTGACCTGCTTGCACCCAGGCTGACAATAAAACCTTGTTTGATACTTCAGTTTTGCCTGCTCTTACAGTCTCAGTTGTGCCCCTATTCACCACTGAGATAAAGGCATAAATTAGATTTAAAGCAGTTGCCTACTGCTGCACCATTTGGATCAAATCTTAAATTTTGAATCCTGTTCATGGCATTTTTGTATGAAAGGAGCTGGAGGTCCTGTCCCGACTGAGGTCCCTCACCAGAATGTATAAACCAGAGGTATCCACTTGGTTTCCCAGTGAGAACATGAATCCAAAGATGATATGCTCCCAAACTATGCAGTAAGATTTGATCATTGGAGTCTGGAAATTCAAACTATTTTCTTCCAAATATAAAATTGTTCTTCAAAAATATAGAAATAGCTCTTTAAATGGAGGAAAAACCCTTAAACTGGATGATGCATTTTCTTTGGATCTAATATAGATGATCAAGTCTCCAGTAACTTAATGCTTGTGGAATTAACAAGTAGAATTCTGTTTTGACATTTCAGAAACACTTTATATTCTTCTTTGGTCTCAGGCACCTAATCTGGAAAATGGAGGAAAATGGATCCACTGGACAGGGCCCTTATGGGGCTTAAATGAGGGAATAAATAAGGCACTTACTGAAGTGTAAGCCACACAGTTAGGACTCAGCATAGTTAGTGCTCTTCTCTGGCCTTGTTAACTTGATTTAATTTCTCTCTGGGCAATCACTTACCTTAAATAACCCTTGTTCCTTGCTGGCCGTAAACAGCGCCTCTTGTGTACGTTGCAAAGCAAAGGTGCTAATGTGCTGACTTCACTTAGATGAAGGACTCATCTTCCTTTGGTGAAATAAATACTGATATCCAGCATTCACTGTATTCTCAACTGTTCTGGAAGGGCTCACCTAATCTCCGGTGACCATTCTCACAACGAAATACACAGCCAACCTTTTAAACCATATGTGACCAGTTATGCACAAAATGCAATAGTCAATCTAACAAAATGAACTGAAACTCATTAACACTATGACAAAAAATAAAGGGGAAAGGAAAGATGAGAATGGAATTAATATGAGAAAGTGAAAAATAATGGAAACAAAGTCTTTGTAGATAGGGAGGGAGGGAGGGGTTGAAGGGAGGGCAGAGGAATGGGGAAAAAATAAGAACCAAGATGGATTAAGTCAAGATACAAATTTTCAACAGTGAATGTCATTATATTGTATACATTAAATGTACCAATAAAATTAATTTTTGAAAATCATATAATTGCAACACAGTTCAAAATTTCTTTGCAAATTATTTGACAAAGAAGTTTTGAAAAGTGAAATTCAAACTCCTCCAGTGTTGAAACATGAAACTCAAACACTCCTCCCACTGTTTTCAGAATCCTAGCCTATCTGCTTCTCAGCTTTATCCCCATCTTTCTCCTCAAACTCATCATCCTTTGTGGTAGCTGCAGACTCTTGCACTCTTCTCATGAAGCACTCCATTCTGTGCCTTTTCTTTCACTATGCCCTTTGGTTCAACTGTTCTTTCCTTCCTCTATACCTGATAACTCTGACCTACTTATATCAGCAATTATGTAGACCAGATAGTGAATGCTATGCAATATTTCACTCTGAAAAATTATCGTTAAGATCAGCTCTCTATTAAACCTGCTTTGTTTTGGTCTCTGTTGCCATTGTAACTCAAGGCCAAGCCACTTTGGGGGTTGCGTTGACGGCTGTTGGAAGAAAAAGAAAAGTGCTGTTTCCATGGTGCTTCGATGGGAAAAAGTCGAGCACCAAACGCACTTCCACCAGAGTTAGGAAAAAATCTCAGTTCCGCTTTTGGCTCTCCCTGCAAAGTGCTGTTACTCTAGGGTGGTCAGCTAACTTCTCAGAACACTAGCAGCTTCTCAG